TTTGCCACACACACGCATGCTAATTGTTAAACTTTTCTTATTGCTTATAATCTATGGTCAAATTGAGAAGAGATTATAATAATAATAATATATTGGTTGTCATTATTAATATTTGTCTATAGTGTAGTCTTGGCGAAATCTATGATTACGTAAGTAAAATAATCTTTGACAATAGAATCATAATAGTGTACAAGCTTATAATTTCAATTAATTATAGTCGAATTTCGACTATCGGGGGACCACTAGTAATACGAGGGACGCACTGAAAATTTCGGGACATTACTGTTTAAAAATGTATTTATTGCTTTTCGAAGTATTCTCCGCGAAATTTGACACATTTTTCCATACGATGGAACCAATCATTGAAGCAACCATTCCATTCGGAAGTTGGGGTCTCCAAAATGGCCGTTTTGTAGGCGCCCACAGCTTCTTCAGGTGATGAAAATCTCTGTCCACGCAATTTATTCTTTATTTTAGGGAAAGTATAGAAATCATTAGGGCTTAGGTCGGGGTTGTACGGCGGATGGTCTAATAATTCTATGTTTTCTTGCTCTAAAAAATCTTTTGTTCTGTGCGCGGTATGAGAACTCGCATTGTCGTGATGGAGGATGATGCGGCGGTTGCAGTTCTCTTTACGGAGTTCAGAAACGACCTGTGGCAAACAAATGCTAGCATACCATTCTGCATTAACCGTTCTTTGTCCCTCAAGAGGAATAGTCGTAACATGGCCGGTTTTGGAGACAAACGTAGCCACCATTTTTTTTGCAACACTCCGTGAACGAACAATTTTTGTTGGCTTTAACTCATTTTCGAACACCCAAACTCGTGACTGGTTTTTGTTTCGGGTTCGTACGCGTATATCCAGGATTCGTCACCTGATACAATGTTGTATACAGCATTTGAGGATCCTGTGTGGAATCTTTCGACAGTTCTGACGCACCAAGTAACGCGAGCCGCTTTTTGCTTTTCACAGAGCGAATGCGGTATCCATCGGGAAAACAACTTTTTTACACCTAATTGTTCATGCAAGATTATTTGTATGTGACTCATGCCAATGTCTAAAGTTGCCTGAATTTCGCGGTATGTCACATGTCGATCTTTCTCAATCAGCTTACGCAGAGCATCAACGTTTCCTTGGGTGACTGCAGTTTTTGGACGACCTTGACGGGGATCATCACTGAGCTTGACACGTCCACGTTGAAACTCAGCAAACCAGCGATAAATTGTGGTTTTGGATGGGGCTTCATCACCAAATGCAGAAATCATCCGGTCAACACACTGTTTTTGTGTTAAACCACTTCGAAAGTTATAATAAATCATCGCTCTTGAATTTTCACGAGTCAATTCCATTTTCTCAACGACTAAATAAGTTTGACAAAACCTCGTGACAAGACCGAGAATCTTTTTTTAAATAAATAAATGGTATTCGATTTTTAAAACCAAGGAGTTTTTAATTAAAAAGATTTTAATATGGCAGGAACAGTGGAAATATTCCATTCCCGATACTTTTAGTGCAGCCTAGTAATAAAAATAGCAAAGCTTTAGATAACGAAATGTGTCATCAGTCAGAAAGACGTAAAAGAGATGTCATCATCTTATCGCTTACTTTTGTAACAATATCTAACAGGGACAATCGTTACCGCGGCTAAAAAAGGAAATACGTACATAGTCATAAACTAAAAACAGTTTACATTTCGTAAGCTAAATATAATTTGTAGTGCTAGTTAGTTCAAGAACCCGCAAAATAAACTAAATGGTCACTTCCACGCAATGTCACGCAATATTAATGCTCCGTGTCACACGTGCTTGTCGACCTAGGACAGTTGAACACCAACCTTCTTTTCCCGTGGGTGTTGTAAGAGGCTACTAAGCGATTAATCAAATAATGAGCCAGAGTTATTTGAACATTATACCAGCGACCTGTGAGCATCAACTGTCATTTACGAATGGCAAGACGTACTGTAACGGCGCCCGGGTGGGCATCACGATCCTGCCCATTACTACCGCGAACCAATATTTTCCAGTTCCAGTTTGAATGATGGGGATGCCTTTTATACAATACTAGCGACCCGCCCTCGCTTCGCTTCGGAAACATTAAAACACACATGAAACCAAAAAAATTAAATTATTTTTTTTTTGAAAAAAGTAGCCTATGTTCATCAGGGACAATGTCGGCTTCTAATGGAAAAAGATTTTTTCAAATCGGTCCAGTAGTTTCGGAGCCTATTCGAAACAAACAAACAAACAAATCTTTCCTCTTTATAATATTAGTATAGATATAGACAATTGAGGCTTCGGTGTCTACAAAGGTTGAATTAATTTGACGTAAAAGAAACTTGTGCTTGTATTTTTTTCACCTTTCTCAACTGACTTATAAAGAACAATAATGATATGGGTTAATGTATACCATAGAAGTTGCCATTTTAATAGACAGTTTGAATTTAAATTGAACGATACGCGACTGGTAATGTCTTGAACAAAAGCTGTAACTTAATTCTAAAACTTAATCTGTGAATGAACTTTCGATTTTTTTTAATTTAATTTTGAAGTATCGAATTGTTACTCGTAAAAAATCCGAGTAATTTATAATTTATAAAATACTTCTCACACAACACGAGACTTCCGAGGCTATTAACCGATTGACTTTAGTTTTGTATAGAAACTGCTTTTTTCACGTAGACAATCAATAAGAACGGATTTTACGAAGGTCGAGACGAGACGTAAATTTTTCATCTACCATAACATACCCACTCTTGACTTGATGACAAACAAAAAACTAGAAGCCGATGGCAGTGTTATCTACCGAGCCCAATTATAAACATAAGCGAACCAGGGACCTAGTCAAACACATACGAAACATTACATCAAAGACATTTCAGTTGCTTACGGGGAGCTCAGTGACAAACACAACTACAGAAGAATTACAATAATATATTATATGTAGTTACAAATAAATTTAAATACTTTGATTAAATTGCTTTTCTTTAAATAATTGAAATTCGAACGCAATTTTAAACTGCAATAATCGGAAATTAGTAATTTTTTATACATCAACGTATTCATAAGTTTGTCTTTCTTAATGCTCACTCGTGTATTTCAACTTGGAGGACAAAACAATTTTTGTAAGAGTCAACGATCAATAGGTGAACGGACGTATGATCTATGTGTGAAGTAGCGTTGTGATTACAGTTTCACAAGTGAGATATTGTCGTCGAGCATGCCTTGTTGTGCAACAAGTAACTGTGGACGCAATGTCAGTTTCATTGTGTGTAACTTAGCGTGCTTGTTATAAACATCACGAGTCAAACCGATTTGATAGAAGGCTGTAGATACATGTGTGTTGTTGATATTTTTTTATTTGCCTTTTTTTTTAGATCGGTGGACGAGCTCACGGCCCATCTGATATTAAGTGGTTACCGGAGCCCATAGACATCTACAACGTAAATGCCCCCACCCACCTTGAGATATAAGCTCTAAAGTCTAAATATAGTTACAACGGCTGCCCCACCCTTAAAACCGAAACGCATTACTGCTTCACGGCAGAAATAGGAAGGGCGGTGGTATCTACCCGTGCGGACTCACAAGAGGACTTACCTTACCTGTAATTACACAAATTATAATTTTGCGGGTTTCATTTTTATCTCACGATGTTATTCCTTCACCGTGGAAATCAATCGTGAACATTTGTCAAGTACGTATCTCATCAGAAAAATTGGTACCCGCCTGCGGGATTCGAACACCGTTGCATCGCTAGATACGAATGCAGCGGACGTCTTATCCTTTAGGCCACGACGACTTCAGTTAAAACTTTGATTGTTTAAATTTACAAACAAGTATTTGAATAAATTCGTATCTTGTATTTTCCGTATAAAAGTTTGAAGATCCTGAGTTTGACTATTATCAGGAAATAAGAGCTCTTAGGTCCGCCATACTGCCACAACCCAAAATGGACTTCCGCTTTTAAAGGGAGATCGCGATAGGCAGGCTGCCAATCGCAAAACTCACTGTCGTTAAAACATACACGACCTCCAATTCTAAATTACCTTTATCGACTATTTACATACAAATTCGTTCAAACTAGTTAGTATTTCAATAATATGCGAAATCAAAGACGTCTTCACATTCCTTAAGATAAAACTATCGGTATGATTTCAGTATTATAATATTACGTATTAATTCATGACGAATTATTTCCGAAACTAAGCTTCTACGAGTTCCCTTTTCTATTAAGATACAGCTGGCCACTGTGAGCTGCCGTGAATACACAACACATAATGAAATGTAGTCAATTAAATAGGGTTTTTTTTAATTATTTTTAATTCTGTCGTGAAGCAGTAATGCGTTTCGGTTTGAAGGGTGGGGCAGCCGTTGTAACTATACTTGAGACCTTAGAACTTGTATTTCAAGGTGGGTGGCGCATTTACGCTATGGATGTCTACGCTAAAAATTGAACGTTATAAAACCTTCGGTATCGCACTTAAAAGGCTCTGTGATGATAAGGAATAAACTTATAGTTTATATATTTTATTTTTCAAAATTAAAATAACTAATTTATTGCGGAAACTTTATCATATATTCCAAAAACATAAATAAATATTCGTTTTTTTCTAACTATAAAATTTGCACTAAGGGTGACTCATAATTAAATTACATAAAAAAAACTAATTAATTTCTTTAATTACAGAAAATAGAAAAATCGATTATTATTTTAAATTTCAAGGAAATAAATTGATTTAATCATTTTGATTATTAATTTGTACCAAAAGTGCCCAAGTTATAATTCACAAATAATTAATTGATGAATGAATTGAATTTCTTGAATTATCAATTAAAAAGAAAATGTTATTATAAATTAATAGAATTAATTAATTACATTGAGTAATCTTGATAAGTTTTTTTTTTCTTTCAAAATTTTGCCGCCCTAAAAAATTTGCCGCCCTGGGCATTAGCCCCGACTGCCCCTAGTGTAGATCCACCACTGATAAAAGGTGTATACGTACTAATAACAGCGGAAGAAGCGTCTACAGGGCTGTTGGAGATGATTCCGGCGAGCAGTAGGAGACATGCGGCGTATGCGATGCGGCACGGTGCCCGCATGTTCGCGTCTACTCGCGGCGCCGGCACCCGCTGCTCCGCCTCCCTTGCATCACACCCTCGCGCCACGCCACACGAGCGCAACACCTGCAACAATAAGAATCAAGATTTTAGTACTAAATTTACATAGGTAAAAAAAAAGAAAAAAAAAGCATTTCGATCGAAAGTAGGTACAGTAAGTTTCTAATTTTAACATAGCGCTGATGCGATTTACCAACGTTAAGACATCGATTCCCATTAACTATGGCCTTATTAAAATTGTTGGGTACATAAAAGCGGCCATTTAAATATTGCCTTTGATCACTGGAAATAATTCAAGTTCAACGGTAATAGATAAAATAAAAAAAGATACGGAGCTCGTAGACAATATGAATGTGAATGTCGCCCACCCTTATGAGGTCTAAGCCTTAATTGTGCAGTATAATCGTTTCCCACCCTGCCTGTTGGAACGTATCATCATCACTGTTTCTGAGCAGATATAGGCCGAATTGTATTGCCCAATATAATAAATACTCCCAACCAGTAATTACACAGATTATATTTTTTGTTGATTTCTTTTTTTTATTACATCAAGAAAACCGTTATTGCCACATCAAAATGTTTAAGGACTTTAAGGTCTGATTTAAATTATATTAAGACAGATGACAAATGAGCCCCATTTGATTTACATACCTAGTATTCATATTTATTTGCAGAATAACTACACAGAATTTATTGCACAAAAAATTATCAAAGACGTTGTGTACATTTCTGATTGTTGTGTATTAGATTAATTTTAAAGTCCAGTCAGCAACAAAACTTAATGATACAAAGTCGATTTTATCTACCGATCATGGAATAATTACAATTAATTGTATAAATTATCTTTGAATTCTTACCAACGTACCGCGATTACAAGACATATCGAAAAACATATTATGCTTATTTAAAAACTACACAGTTCTCAAGCTTCAGACAAGTAAATGTATCGCAACGGTTCGATTTAAAAAAATGTGCTAGATGATAGAATTTAATTTGTAAAACACACCCACCGAACCCAATTTTAGATTCACGTGATAAATGTTTACGGTATTTCGATTACGTAAAGCTTAAAGTAATAAACAAGGTTTTTAGTATTTGATTTTATTAATCAGCTCTTAACAACATAACTCTATTTAACCAACAGACAAAAATTTATGTGAGATTTTTTCATTAGAGGGACTGATGAGCTTAGAAAATGTGATTCGTTTATTGAAACCACTACATTACTCAATGTATCTGCTTTTTCTGTTACTAGTTTTGTATGTATTACGAAGTTTTAAAAGAAATGCTATGAAGCGCACAAAATAACAAATGGCCATTTTATTTTACACTTTCCGGATAAAAATAACCATTTGGCTAAGATTATCGAAAACCACAAATTGCTGTAAGTTATGTTCTTTCGACTGTATAACTAATGTCAGCATCAGCCAGTTTTCGAAAACGGTCATGTTCCACTGAGACTAATCTGTTGTCACCATTACTTTTGCTGGTTCTAATATCGTGATAATAGATCGGTCTGAACGTCGAGCTTAGCTGATTGATATGAATCATTTCTTGTAACGAGAACCTGTAGGCAGAAAATAACGACTAATTGAAATATTTATGCCATAAGATTACCAGGATTTGGCATATAGAATTATTTTATACCGCAATAATTTACGATAAAACAAATTGTCATTGAATAACAAATAATTTTCGATTTTGTTATTGTTCGATTTTTTTTTAAATTTCATAATATTATGCTTTATCTGTCATTTATTATTATTTTATCATCTTAGTATTCTCATTTCTCGATATATCTTATATATCTATTTTAAATAAAAACATTTATAATAATAAAATACGCAGTGTTCGTGCAACAAAGATATGATTAACATTTTTATGTTTCCAAATATTAACCGGTTAGTTTTCATACCGAAAGCTATGTACATTTTTATGCTATTCACAAAAATAACTGAGAAACAACGAACGTTCAAATATTCTTGGAACCAGAGTATTATTGAACATATAAGCGTCATGTCTTAATTATTTATTCAAAACCAATCAGAGATTTTAATGACCCCGAAGTCGTAGTAAAATATTAGTTCTACAGATAGAGCTCGACTGATGTCCTTCCTTAGCGCATTTTTTTTACAGCATTCCACTAGTACGTTGACCTCGAGTACTCGGACATATAACATTAACTCATTAATAATAACACGATGCAACAAAAAGTGATTCATATAAACCACATACAGAAACGTGTTCGTTCGTTCTTTTGAATCGTTCAGAATCGCGATCCGACAGTTCACTCTTTTCAGTTCCAAATACAAATACTGAGAATCTATTTTGGTTCCGGTTTCAGATCCTCCTTGTTAATGCGTTCGGTTAGTTCCAAAGCAAAAAAAAATGTATGTGTAAAAAACCTAATTGAATTACAGTTGAGTACAATCTTTATGATAAAACTAAATGAGACAGTTAATAAGTTACGGCGTCAACGGTAAACTCGACAGACACGGAACGTGTTTTTTTTCAAAAACTCATGACGGTTCATAAAAAGTGATATGTTTGTTCGCGAAATAATTTTGAAATCATAATGAGTCATCAATTTTCTGTAGCAACGTTCATATACTTAAAAAAAAATTACATCAAGTAATTTCATAAAGCATTGCAAATAATTATTTTTTATTAATATTTTTATTACTTTCGTAACTAAAATAACTTTAAAATTCTGGTTTCGTTTAATTGCATTTAAATTTGGAGGGGCTTACATAAGACGACTGCTGTATCAATTTATTAAGACATCAATATTATGTACAAGCCCACAAACAACATAAAACAAAAAAGGCGATCAATTTTTATCTATGCCTTTAGTGAAAAAAAAAAGGAAAAGTTCAATTATATTCCAGTACAAAAACGGACCTTAACGGAAAAGGGTGTAAGTTCAATATTACCCCGGCACATTATAAATTTATTCATGTTTATTTATCGCACGTTCAATGTTTATACTTAATGTTAAGAACTATGTACTAACTTTAAAATCTGTAGACGCCGCACGTACTTGTATCTTCCTATTGGAATACATCACTCGTTGTTGGCTAATCTCACAATGTGATTGCTACTGACAAGAAATGAAAGACAAAAGCGACACGTTCCAAGATTCGTGTGTCGCCATCTTAATCCTGGAACGTCTCCGTAAGCATTCGATTGTCGATTGTTTAGTTTCAACAAATTATTCGAAAAGCCACATTTCTTCGAAGATGGTAAGTACGTTTTTATTTTACTTATAATGAGAATTGTCGTCGGTAACGGATTTCGCTTTGTAATCGAAATCACTTTAATTATGTAATAAATAGGGTTTTAACAATGAAGTGTAGCAGTAGAAGTATAGGATTAATTTAAGTTTTCGTGGCCTAAAGGATAAGACGTCCGGTGCAATCGTATCTAGCGATGCAACGGTGTTCGAATCCCCCAGGCGGGTACCAAATTTTCTAATGAAATATGTACTTAACAAATGTTCACGATTCCACGGTTAAGGAATAACATCGTGTAATAAAAATCAAACGCGCAAAATTATAATTTGCGTAATTACTAGTGGTAGGACCTCTTGTGAGTCCGCATGGGTAACCCTGCCTATTTCTGCCGTGAAGCAGTAATGCGTTTCGGTTTGAAAGGCGGGGCAGCCGTTGTAACTATACCTACTGAGACCTTAGAACTTATATCTCACGGTGAGTGGCGCATTTGCGTTGTAGATGTCTATGGGCTCCAGTAACCCCTTAACACCAGGTGGGCTGTGAGCTCGTCAATCAAACTAAGTAATAAAAAAAAATTTAAAAATGTGGCGTTATATGAACAAGTTCCCATACTATACTATCAGGGTAATTAAAAATCCAACCAAATAAATAGCATATTGTTTTAAGCGTGTTAACTTTTTCATCGGGGTATTGAATCAATGTCGCTTAATCAACGACATTACGTATCATGGTATTTATTTTTTTGCGTGAAGCCCTCAACAATCCCACATATCGACGTAAACTAGCGCACGATTTTTCTTCAGCGTTGAACATAAAGTTAATTGCATGTCTAATTCATGAGGCAAGATATTTTCAATAAATATCACAGATCGAATGTATTTATCTACATCATAGATCTACTAATAAGGTAAAATTGTTCTTGAGTCAAACATTAATAAAGCTACGTTCTTTGTCGTTTGAACGTTTTTAACTTGATCATTTTAAAACAACCACATAACAAATAGGACAGTTTAATAATTTATTTATTTACATTACGAAATAGTCCACAGTTGTGACCTATAGTTATAAATGTCGACAAAAATGATTAATAAAAATATACGTACGTAAAATATTTGTAGATCGATCGTTACTATGCTCCTACACTGATATAAAATGTTGACGAGATTGACCGCTCCAATTGAACGATAAAACATTTTAATCAATTCGTGATATATTGTCGCTTTTTGTTCAATCTAATTAAGCTTAGTTTGCTTTGATATCTCGTTTGACTTTCAACGCAAGAAACTTAGGGAACAAACATTTTCCGATCGTTGCAGTTTTGTTATATATAGTTGATGTCAAGCGCATAGAACTAAACACACTTTTCTTTTGTATACTAAATCATTAAACGATATATTCATCGTATAAATTTCACAATTCATTAACATGTTTATCGTGCGTTTATTCAAAACGACAAACCTAACTTTCAACAATGTGCAGCTTAGTATGTGACACATAGTGTCGTTTGCCAGCCATTGGAATCAAGATTAATCTGAAAAGCAGTAAACTTTGGCAAAGGGCCTGCATAATATGATTCTAGCGTTTCTGCGAGTATGAGTCGGATATCGCAGCAGTATGGCGGGTGTCGCTGCGTCACCTACTTTCACGGAGGCAGCGTCGGAGGAGCCACCGACGGATGCGAGGAGCGCGGGCGCGGGCGAAGGCTGCGTGCGCGGCAAGGTCGCCGTGAGGCAAACCACTCGTCCACAGAATTTCTTCGGCTCAGAGACACGCGCATACCAGTCCGGGAGCGGAACGCGGTCGCAATAAAAACGCTTGGATATATTTCACGCG